AGGGTGGGAGGGGGTGGTGCGGGAGGGGTTGTGACCCATGCCTGGACTCAGCTTGCTCCCGTCTCTGCCCCAGGACATCTGCGCAGAGCTCTTGGGGGTCCCGCAGCTTGCAGACTGCTTGGCCCTGGTGGACACAGGCCACTACCTGGAGGCCTGCCGGCAGGACCTGTGTCTCTGCCAGCGGGACCCGACCAGCTGTGTCTGCCACACCCTCGCTGAGTACACGCGGCAGTGTGCCCACGCCGGGGGGCTGCCCCAGGACTGGCGGGGCCCTGGCCTCTGCCGTGAGTGTCCCTCCCCACCCCAGGTGTCAGGGAGGCAGGGAGGGAGGGAAGGGAGGGAGGGCGGTGGGCCATGAGCCGTGCCCCTGCCTCCCGCAGCCCAGACGTGCCCTCACAACATGCAGTACCATGAGTGCCACCCACCCTGCTCTGACACCTGCTCCAATCCCGAGCACTCCCAGGCCTGCGAGGACCACTGCGTGGCCGGCTGCTTCTGCCCCGAGGGTGAGGCGCGTCCTGTGCCCCGGCCCTGCCTTCCAAGCCCGCATGACCTGGTGTCGTGTCCCGCCTGCCGGAGACATCCTGGGCCCCAGGGCGGGGGCCTCTGCCGCGCCCATCCCCCTCCTCACATGCCTGGCTGCTCCCCGCAGGGACGGTGCTTGATGACATTGGCGACGGCGGCTGCGTCCCGGTGTCCCAGTGTGCCTGCACGTACAATGGGGCCACCTACGCGCCGGGGACCATCTACTCCACGGACTGCACCCACTGGTGGGTCCCAGCCCCCCTTCCCCCGCCCCGTGCCCTGGAATGTGGCGCTGGGCTGGCCCCTCTGGGGCCGCAACCTGGGCCGGTGGGCTCCCCTTCCAGGCCCGGAGTCTGGCAGGCCTGGCCGAGTCCCCGCCGGCCCCGACGCGGAGGCGGCTGGCTGCCCCGGGGCCCATGCTCACGTGGCCACCCCGTCTCAGCACCTGCTCAGGAGGCCGGTGGAGCTGCCGGGAGGTTCCGTGTCCAGGCACCTGCTCTGTGCTCGGCGGCGCCCACTTCTCCACCTTTGATGAGAGGCTGTACACAGTCCACGGGGACTGCAGCTATGTGCTGGCCAAGGTAGGCCCGGCCGTCCGGGGTCCGCCAGACATCAGTTTCCAGGATGCTCCCCGACCTTGGCTACGCATAGGGTGACCCTGGGACCGATGGTGGGAGCTTGAGGAGACGCCCCGCCCCCCAGCACTGGTTCCGCACGAGGCCCGGGGGCTGCAGTCAGGGCCTCCACCCCGGGGAGCTGTGCTGACGCTCCTTCGGCCCAGGCCCAGAGTGGACCTCGGGGCCCCATGTTGTGCTGTCCACCCAGGGGTTAGGGCAGACGACATCCTGTGTCTGTGTGACGGTGTCCTGTCATGGCCCCGCTGCCTGGTCCTCTGGGTCCTGCCCACCCCTTCCCCAGGCCCACTGTGCTGTCCTGACTGGGCCCGTCCCACGAGCTCCTGGGGTTGCAGGCTTGCAGGGTGTGGCCTCCTCAGATTTCTCAGCCAGCGGGCGGGTGCATCAGGGGGTCCTCCACCCGGGGTCCTGACAGCGCTTCCCTCCCGGAGGTCATGAGGGCAGAATGAGTTCCAGCGGGGGAGGGGGCTTCCAGCACGGGTGCAGCCCGGGAGGAACAGGGCCAAGGCGGGGTGGGGGTGCGGAGCGTGAGAACACGTGTGTCCCAGCCCTGTGACAGCAGCACCTTCACCGTGCTGGCCGAGCTGCGCCGGTGCGGGCTGACGGACAGCGAGACCTGCCTGAAGAGTGTCACACTGGGCCTGGGCGCGGCGCAGACGGTGAGTGTGGCCTCTGGGCCGGGGAGACCTGCAGGCGGGCCCAGAGAGGGGGCACGCCCATCCCTCACAGCACCCTGCTGCCCAAGCCCTTCCTCCTTGGCGTCAACAGCGAGAGGCTGGAGGACCCTCCGTGATGTTGGCTGGGTCCATGCTCGTGGGTCATCCGAGTGATGGTCTCCAAACGGAGCAGCTCGGGGACGGGACGGGGCCTCCATGCCTGCCCTAACCTGCCCCAGGAGTGGGGAATGTGGAGCGTCTCCAGCCAACATGGCTTCTCCCCAGAAGTCGATTTTGTCATTTTATAAAATGACTTCGGCGTTGACACTATTTAAAAACATGCACGGTCCTCAGAAAACGTAGAAAGTCGGGCCCCTCCCAGGAGCCCTCAGGCAGAGTCTCCCAGCCACCTGCAGGCACGTGTCACAGGCCCCGGTGCCGGGGGACAGGGCCGAGGTGGTGTGCGCTTACCGTCCCCCCGCCCCGGCGCCCGCAGGTGGTTGTGATCAAGGCCAGTGGGGAGGTGTTCGTGAACCAGATCTACACCCAGCTGCCGGTGTCCACAGGTAAGGGCGGAACCCCCAGCCCGGGCTGCCTGGGGTTCTGCCCCACGCCCCCTGCGAACCTGGTCCTGTGTCCACAGCCAACGTCACCCTCTTCAGACCCTCCACCTTCTTCATCATTGCGCAAACCAGCCTGGGCCTGCAGCTGGACGTGCAGCTGGTGCCCACCATGCAGGTGTCCGTGCGGCTGGCGCCCGAGCTCCGTGGCCAGATCTGCGGTGAGAGGCGGCCCCCGGCCCCACCCTGAGCCCCCCGTGGCTGGAGGCTTCACTCTGCCCTCTCGCCCTCTCCCCTGAGACCTCCGCCAGGGCCGAGCTCAGCCCCATCCCGTCCACCCCAGGTCTCTGCGGGAACTTCAACCAGAACCAGGCCGACGACTTCACGGCCCTCAGCGGCGTGGTGGAGGGCACGGCCGCGGCCTTCGCCAACACCTGGAAGGCCCAGGCTGCCTGCCCCAACGCCCGGAACAGCTTTGAGGACCCCTGCGCCCTCAGCGTGGAGAATGGTACCCACCCCCCACCTGGCTCAGTCCCCCGAAGTCCTTCCTGTCCCCCGGGCCATGGAATGCTGGGGCGGGGCTCGGGGACCCCAGGGAGGTGGAGGCCTGTGACAGGCAGGTGTCACGGGGGGGGAGTGGGGCAGACTGG